ACTAAATAGCCATATGATATACTTGGTGTCCAAAGTATATACATGGCAAGAAGATATCCATGTATCACACTTGGTGTCCAAGTATATATACACCTATACATACCCCTCTTCTTGTAACAAAGAAAGATGCAAGAGTAAGTGAAAGAAGAAACTACACATACTACTCCTCATCTTTCTTATTATCTTATCTTTTATACTTAGTTTATAACACGTTATCAGCACGAAGCTCTAATCAAATTCCATCTCAGTTTTCATCATGTCAAACTTATTAAAGCTTGAATTTGTGGCACTTGATATTACTGGAAAGAATTACTTGTTATGGGTTCTTGATGATGAAATCCACATTAACGCTAAAGGTCTTGGAGATACTATTAAACAAGGAAATAAAACATTATGAAATGATGAAGAACTTGTTGGTGCTGAGACACCATATCTTAATGTAATTGGTGCATTGATGTACCTTGCTAATAATTCTCGACCAGATCTATCTTTTTCTATAAATTTATTGGTAAGATTTAGTTCTTCCCCAACACAGAGACATTAGAATAGTATAAAGCATATACTCAGATGTATCTTTGAGGAACCATTATATATGAGACTACTTATTCAAAAGGGTCCAATTCACAATTAATTGGTTATGCAGATAGAAGATATTTGTCTGACCCACATATAGAGGTCGATCTCAGACATGTTATTTATTTACATATGGAGGTACAACAATATCACGGCTTTCAACAAAACAAACTATGGTTGCTACTAAGGGTGTACAAAATCGAACAAAAAATCGAACCAAATCGCAAACCGAGTCAAACCAAGAAAAAAACCCGACTAGTGGTTGGTTTGACTTGGTTTGGTGTTGAAAAAAAAACCCGACTATATTTGGGTTGGTTTGGTTTTAACTAAAAAAACCAACCCGAGACCAAACCAACCCGACATTATATATATAATTTTAAAATTTTATTTTATACATAAAATATTTACTTTGATATAATTTTCAAATATTTCTTATACTTTTTTTTTATATAGTTTTTATCTTTTAATATATTATTTCAAGTTTGAAACTTAGAATTCTGAATAGTTCCATAAAGATTATAGTCCATAAATGTTGGTAATTATAATAAAACTTAAATCAAAATCAAATTAATACTAATGCAAAAAGAAAATCAATTTAACACTAAGAATGACAATAATATTGAATATTTGTTCTTTGGTTTTACATTGGTTTAGACAATTAAAGTACATAATCTAATTTTAATTTCCTTTAATATTTAGTCATGTAACTAATACTTATTAAACTTATTTTAGCATGATTTAGTACTTTTAAATTATGATCATTTTCTTTATGACTTGTTAATTTGCAATATTTGTTTTATGCGATTTCATTATTATTATTATTTTTAGAAATTTTAGTGTCATTAATCATACCATTGTTTGTGTTGTATTCTTAAGAAACACATTAGATATTTGTATTTTGGTAGGACTGGAGAAATATTTGAAGTACAAGTAAATTATATGTTTGTATGAATACTTTAGCGGAAAAACCCGAAAATCCGAAAAACCCAAAAAAATTTGAAAAAACCCGAGGTTGAAAAACCCGAGTTTTTTTGGTTTGGTTTATAGATTTAAAAATCTGACACAAATGGTTTGGTTTGATATTTGAAAAACCCAAACCAACCCAACCATGTACACCCCTAGTTGCTACTTCTTCAAATCATGCAGAGATCGAGAATATGTTTGGTTGAGATCAATAATTCAACACATCCAGGAAACATGTGGTGTTCCTTCGAAGAAAGAGATTCCAATGACATTATATGAAGACAATGTTGCATGTATAACTCAACTATAAGGAGGATACATCAAAGGAGACAAAATAAAACATATTTTACCAAAATTCTTCTTCACTCACGATCTTCAAACGAAGGGTGAAATAGATGTTCAACAAATCCGTTCCAGTGATAATTTAGCAGATATTCACCGAGGCATTACCAACTTCAACATTTGAGAAGCTGAGAAACAAGATCGAAATGTGTCATCTTCGAGATATTAAATGATATTTTCATAAAGAGGAGAAAATACACGCTGCACTCTTTTTTCCTTAACCAAGGTTTTATCCCACTAGGTTTTCCTGGTAAGGTTTTGAATGAGGCAACAAATAATGTGTATTACTACAGTTTTTCTTTCACTATTTTTTATATATATATATGGACATCCAAAGGGGAGTGTTGTAAATTGGATGTCCACACTAATATGTTAAGTATTGTAAGATTAATACACACATAAAATGCTAAATGGTGTATACTAATTGGCCACATGATATACTTGGTGCCCAAAGTGTATACATGGCAAAAAGATATCCATGTATCACACTTGGTGCCCAAGTACATACAACTATATATATCCTCTTCTTGTAACAAAGAAAGATGCAAGAGTAAGTGAAAGAAAATACTACACATACTATTCCTCATCTTTCTTACTATCTTATCTTTTACTAAGTATGGGGTGACCTATGAGACCTACCTATGACTCGTAAGAGGAACAACAGACTGTCCTATTGAACTATCAAAAGGGTACTAGGACTTGTTTTGAAAATTTCATTTTCCCCTACCTACGATTGCCACCTACGGCCCGTAGGATGTTCTACTGTCCGTAAGTGGAACCCGTAGATACAAACACCAGCCCAAAAACTACATTTCCTAAATCTGAGGTGTTACATGATGGGACAAAATTTCGAACTCAGAGAGATTGAAATAGGTGCAATATATATTTTCAGTTGCGAAGCTGCTCCAGTTCATCGTCTTTTGAAGATTGGTGTTGAGGCTGCTCAATCCACTGAAAATGACTTTTCATTTTCTCTAGAGCTTTCTTTATTTGTTTTTATTTTTTTGGTAACTAGTTTCGATATGGATCAGTTCGTAGGGCGGGGTTTTTGAGAATACAAATAACCTATAATTTTTTCCACCTTAAGCAAACATATGGGGATAAGACACAAGTACCCTCCTAGACATGATCGAAATCTCAGAACACACATTTTAACTAAACTAAGGTCCTATTACCCCCCCGAACTCATTTTTTTTTGGTAATTTTGTACACCTTTTGGCTTACGTGGCACACTCCATGACTCCATGCATTTAAGATGCGTGGGAGATATTTGGATGTCATGTAAGCCAAAAAGGTGTACAAAATTACCGAAAAAAATGAGCTTAAGGCGGTAATAGGACCTTAGTTTAGTTAAGGTGTGTCTCTGAGATTTCAATTATAATTTAGGATTGAAAGATATGTTTAGAAACTAAGCTATGCAAAAAAATAAACATTATATTATTATTCTCTTAATTATAAGTTTTAAAAGTCTTATTTTCTTTATTAAACTCGATATCAAATCCTATTTTTAAGTCAGTTTTTGACTTCTGAAATGTAAAAATAACTAGAAATATATCAAAAGTGACTAAAAAGAAGAAGTGTTTGACAAGATTAAAAATTAACTTAAAATAAGTTAAAAATAAAAAAATAGGTCCTTTTTTTTTAACTTAAAAATCATTCCAGTGTGATATTTTATTTATTTTTTTTACTTATAAACTATTTCTTTAGTAAATCCAAACGGGCTCTATGACGTAAATTAAGCAAGGGAGTAATAAAATGATAAAATTGGTATTTTTTTTTTTTTTGTTGATGTTGATTGCGTGTGAGGTGAAACATTTTTGATTAGTTGCTTGGTACTTGTGTAAAGCACAAACGAAACCCTGACTTTCACGCTTCAAAACACAAAACCCTCCACCGGAGGCAATACCCAACAAGGGTAAGCTGGCTCTATATAATATGGCCTGGCCCTCTACAAGTCCTTAAGAAACGATGGGAACTGGGGAAGATAGGTCGGAGATAGTGTTTTTCGATGTGGAAACTACTATACCCACGCGAACTGGACAGAAATATGCACTATTGGAATTTGGGGCAATTCTTATTTGCCCAAGAAAGCTTGTTGAGCAACATAGTTACTCTACCCTTGTACGACCCTCTGACCTCTCTCTTATTTCTACCCTTTCTGTTCGCTGCAATGGAATTACCAGAGATGCTGTCACTTCTGCCCCTTCATTCGCTGATATCGCCGATAAAGTCTTTGATGTTCTCCATGGTTATTATCTCTTCATCACTACTGCTTTATTTATTAAGCTATTTCTATTTATCGACCTGGCTGAAGCATTTTTACGATTAATGGGCGTGTTCATCTTTGAATTTAGCTATAAAACTGTGTTGGAGGCTATTTGCATTTTAATTAGTTGTGGACCGTAGCAGGTTGTTTGGTGGTTTACTAGACCATTTTAAGTTTCATTTTCTCACTTTTCTGCCTATAGAGGCAGGCAGGATTCAGAATGTTAAGTATTTATTAAACCAATACAATACGATACATTATGAAACAATAAGTAACAACCATGCAAACACATAGTGCAGGGTATCATGATACAAACAGCGTATAACTTTGTCACAGTGGATGCTAAAATCATGGTAAATCGTAGGAGTATATTTTTGTAATGATGTGTATAAGCCAAGTCAAAAGCTATGGGTGGATGTTCACATTCCATGCCCTTTATTTCTATCTGCCTCTGCCTCTGCCTCTGCTTCCTTAGTGTTTACTTTTTGACAGTGCGCTCGACTTTTAAATTGGTTCTGTGGGAAATATGGTGGGTCTAATTGTTCATCTTTTATAAGGAATTGACTGATTTTACATTATTTCTTTTTTATGTGCTTGCTATGTTGTTTGTGTAGGGAGGATATGGGCAGGCCACAATATACTGAAATTTGACTGTCCAAGGATTCGGGAGGCGTTTGCTGGAATTGACAGGCCTGCACCAGAACCTAAGGGAACAATTGATACACTTACTTTGTTGACTGAAAGATTTGGAAGGAGAGCTGGTAACATGAAGGTATAGCAATTCTTCTCCTCTTCTTCATGAAAAAGTAGGGAAGTAAGTTAATTTTACTCGTAAGAAACAGTTATCTTCAAGAGTTCTCACTTGTTAGACAAGTGTTAGTTTTTTGCCTTCATCTGGGAAACACTAATGGGCCTTCCGAGTACTCAAAGTTATGATATTTCCCAAACATAAGTCAATTATGTACATGCCAGGGTGATATGCTAAGCAACACATTTTGACACGAATTTATTGATTGTCAAGATCAATAGAATCAGCCTTCTAATATTGGTTTGAATTATGTTAGAACATTTCTTTTTATAGCATTACCTTTTTTATTCGTGGTACTTCTGTACAGATAAATGTTTACTTGAGAAAGGGTTTCTATTTGTGTTGTTATTTGGTTGATGGGTTCTTATGCCAAAATTAGTAGATGAGCTCCCCAGACCCTGGGACTGCAAATTTTTCATGCTGTGTCTTCATTATTGTATGCTTTTGTTTTAATTGTTTTTAGCTTTATTTGAAGAAGCAGGAAACTAAAACAATATAGTAATCTTCCTTTTGCATAGAATCAACCAACATATATGACAAAACGTCTGGTTTGCTGTGAAAGAGAAGTGTATCAATGTTTCCTCTTTCAGATCTATTTGTTATTTAATATGTTGATGTTTCCATACATAAGCATAGGAGAGTATTTGTAAACAGCAGATAGGCCAATTCTGCTAATAGGGGAGGCTATTGCAATCCTTTGTACAACTGGGGAGGTCTTGTGTACCACCAAGAAATGTCACAGGGTACAAGTGAAGTGATATCAGTTGTAATGTTTAAAACATCAAATGATGATTTGGTTGCATTCTGTTTGCAGATGGCCTCTCTTGCTACATATTTTGGCCTTGGAGAGCAAACACATAGGTAACAATGTTTTGTCCTTTCTTAGATGGTTTTGCCCCGTGCAGTGTGAACTGCTAGGTTTTGGAATATTTTTCATTGTCTTAACATTGATGTTCTACTTTTCAGGAGTTTGGATGATGTCCGAATGAATTTCGAAGTACTAAAGCACTGTGCAACTGTCTTGTTTTTGGTAAGTTGTTCATTGCCGTACTTTTGATTTTTAGTTCTTCAAGTCTAGGTTTGCTAATGTTAACAATTATTCTCAAACTTGGTGAATCGTAGATATACTGTTCAGCTGAACCAATTTGACATGCTTTTGGTTTTTCTTTTCATTGCAGTATTTTCCTTTTACCCTATTTGTCCATACAATCATGCCATATATGTTAAGATATTACGGTGCAACAATAATAAAGGAAGTATATTACTCTAATTTCTTTCCATCGTCTATGCCAAATTGTTGAATGTTTGGTATGATCAATGACATGCAAGTTGCATGGCACACCTAACACCTGAAGGGCTAGAAATCAAACTCATAAATCGTGAGATTGGTATACCTTCCGTTCTTATAACTTTATACTTGGTTAGCCCCTCCTCCTCCCTCTACCCCAACACCTCAATCTCAATAGAAGAAGAGGGAAAAAGTAAAAAAGAAAAAACTTACACCAAAAGTGAGTATGGGGTTACAGCTGGAAAAATTCTCATCCATTGTCTTCTGATATCTTCCGACAAGTCTCTCTTTGTAATGTTTAGGCTGTGTTCCTTCTGTCTCAACTGAGGTGTTAATTGGTTTCCTAAACTGATAACTGTCACAGGGTAGAATTCAGCATCAAATGTAGAATATGATGGAAAAGTTTGTGTTATAATTTGTAATGGTTTTCATGAAACTTTATGGGATACACGAGCTGTTTCATTACTGGAACAAGATTAATGCAATCATTTCAGTTTAAGCTATGTGATGCAGATGCAGCGCCTCTGATTGTGATTATTGGGGCTACCTTTTTTTGGCAGGCTGTCCAATTTAGACTTGCAAAGGGCTTTAGAGGTAGTTGCATATTTATTAAAACAACAGCTTACCAGTGTAGTCCCACAAGTGGGTCTGGGGTGGTGGTGTCAGGTGTGTATGAAATTTTACTCCTACCTTGTGAAAGTAGAGAGGCTGTTTCCAATAGACCCTTGGCTCAAGTAAAGGATATCATAATCATGTACCTAAAGGAAATACAGTAGTGAAGACGACCTGCTAAAAGTAAAAGGAGAAAAGAACAGTAGCAACAACAAATAATATGGTAACCGAAACAAAGGAAACGTCACGTAATATGAAATCAAAGAATAATAAATTAGGAACAATACCGATAAGGACTAAAGATGCTCAACTAACTACTAACTTTCTTCACTAATCTTTGACTTCCATATCTTCCTATCTAGGGTCAAATCCTCGGTAAGCGGCAGGTGTGCCATATCATATCCACCATTGCCAACTTGCACACCTCCTCAGTAGAACATACGTGCCTCTCCTCTTCACATGCCGGAACCATTTTAGGTTCGCCTCCCTCGTCTTGTCCACCATGGAGGTCACTCCACCTAGTCTTGAATATCTTCGTTCCTAATCCTATCGCTCCTAATATGCCCAAACATCCATCTCAACATCCTTATTTTTCGCTGCTTTCATCTTGTGGACATGCGAGTTCTGACTGTCCAATAAATTAAATTGTTGAATCAATGGTGAAGCTTAAGAACTGATCAAGAAAATAAGTGAATTGTAGCTGATCAGAAGTAAAAATGTAAGTGTCATCTTGCTTACGACTTAAACTTTTGATTATTCGCACTGTTTGAAATGGTATCAGATTTGGAGTTCAAATTTCATCTACAAAATAATATTTTCACATGCTTAGTTCAAGAAAGAGAATCAAGCTGCACAGAAGGAGCATTTTGAATATCTAAAATAAATGATAAAAATATCACTTCTCCTACAATTAAGCTTTTAGATGTGGCAGTTGACACTATGCAATCAAGAACTGCAAGGCCATGCTACCGCATCTTATGAGTATATATATATATTAACAGTTTACTATCATTTCTAAAAGTTCTTTTGATCAGAACAGACTATTGAACTTTGCCATGGGTTGAATAGAAAAATTGTTGTACTTGCAGGAATCCAGCCTGCCTGATATATTAACCAACTCTCCTAATGCTGCTGTAAGAAGTCGTGCTAATGGAAATACTAATTTGGAGGGGATGGGCTTGAGTATAGATACACCTTCATCAAGTGTCAAGATAGGAAGTCCTATGAAATCTGTTGCAGAAGCTTACACAGAATCAGACAATCCAATACTTCCGCTTGTGAGCAGAAATGTGGAGGAGGTACCAGATCTTATTAAAACAAATTCCTCGAGGCCTGACCCTTTTAACTTGGTCCAATTCAGTGCGGAAGTAAGGGAATCCATTCAGTTAGATGCAATGGATGAAGAACCTGCTTCTTATTCTCGAGATTCTTCTGCGTCAATTGCAACAGAGGGTTACATTGGCATCACAGACTTCTTAGAACCAAATAAAATTTCAATTTCTTCTGTCTCCTTAAGTCTATCCCCCTTACGTAGTGGAATGCAGAAGATACAAATCTTGCACAACAATGCTGAGCTGCAAGTTTGCTCTAAATGCCTGAAGGTGCGGTTTGGAATTAGTACAAAGTTTGTTGATTATGCTGGTCGGCCACGGTTGAGTTTTGTGGTTGATGTATCATCAGAGTTATGCCAACTTTTGGATGCAATTGATAATCTTGCTCAGAAGTTGACAGAGGATTCAGGTAGCATGTCAGAATGGAGGCCTGTGGTAAACAGAAAACCTGGCTTTATGAACTCTCCTACTGTTCGTTTAAAGTAAGTTCTGATCTTTCTTTTCCTGGATAAGTAAAACCTCCTTAATTTTGCCTGTTATCAGAAACCAGGAGAGATTTCACCTTGTGTTTTTTCTGGTATATTCTTAATGCTTAAGAGATCAAATTTTCGTTTTCCATTATGCTATGTAATGTGAGGCTAGTCTGCTTCTGTTTATGCTAGTCTTCCTTCAGATTTTCCAACCTGATGCACAGCACAAGTAATAGATGAGCTTTTAGCTCATGGCTAGTTCAGGCTTACATAGGTTATATTTCAACTAATATTATAGTGTACTTGCACTTGCAGTTTACCAACTGTTGTAGATGGTAATATCTCCCGCTGGGTCACGGAGATATACCAGAAAGAGTCTTCCGCAACACAGAAGCTTATGTTCAGTAGGTTTGATGTGGCAGAACTGGATTCCTTGATTATTCCAGGGACTCTGTTGGATGTGTACTTCTCAGTGGATTCATATGACTATCAACAAATTGCCGGCATCCGTCTGGTGGCTAAAAAGTTGATTGTGCATTCCTCCCTGATAGATAAAGCGACTTGTCGATTGACATAACATAATAGTTGTACAATTTGCTCCTATTGTCTACCTAGTTTTTTTACTAAGGACGTAGGAGTATCCTGTACAGTTTGACAAGAGAATGCTATTCAAATTGTTCACTCTAATCTAATAATTTGGGTGGTTGATCCACTTATTATAACTTGAATGACCTTTATACACAGCTCTTGGTTGTTTCTCTATAACATCCCAAATGACTTAATTGCTCTGCAGAAAACAAAAATATTGGTTAACATTGGACAAAATACAAATTGTTTGACTGTGATGAAAATGAAACTGTTCTCTGACAATCTTTAGATCGCAAGTAGGGATAAAATCTTTATCATAACACCTACCATCCCCCCTGCCCCTCCCCCCAAACACACAAAAAATTAACCTAACACTTATTATTTATTTGTCAATATTTTTTTAAAATTAATTATAAAAAAATTGATAATTTGTATCGAAATTGCGCTATGGGTTCCATCCTATAAAAGTTCTAATACGTAGTATTTATTTTAAAAGGTCCAATTTTTATATATTCTTTCAATCGTATCAATCTCTCTAACTAGAATATAAAGATACACTTTTATGAATTAACATAAAATTTGAATTCAAAATAAAACAAAAAAAATATATTTGAATTTCGAATCAATATATTAGTCCTTATGGACTTTTATAATATCCGTGTATTGTGTGGGTACGAAATGCATAGATTAATCATGCATTAAAATTGTATTTCATATTTGTATTTTATATTAATTTATTTATTACTCTCTCCATTTGAATTTACTTGTCCTATTTTAATTTGACACGAAATTAAGAACATAAAAAAGTTTTTTTGAATCTTGTGATTTTAAATAAAACATATGTCAAATATACTAAAATGCCTTTTAATTTTGTTTCTTAAACATGTCATGTGGAAAATTAAAATTTAAAAGTTGCTAAAAAAGAAAAAAAGAGATATTCTTTTAAACGGGCTTATTTTTTTTTAGGACAAATAGGTTGAAACAAATGAAGTATTTGATTTTTGTCCTAGGTAAAATAAACAAAAATAAAGATTTACCTTGATAATAGTTCAACGAAGTACATTGTAAAACTAGAAGTCTAGCTTATCATATATATATATATATATATATATATATATATATATATATATATATATATATATATATATATTACTTTTACGGCACGTGTGTATCCTATCACATAGTACACAATGTTGTGAAATAGAATTAATATTACTAACTTAAAGCTTTTTAGTAAATAATTATAATTGAAAGAACTTTGGACAAGTGCTTTTAAATGATTAATACAAATTGTCTTAGAGTAAATTATTTTTTTAGATCAAAATGACCAGGTATCATTGAAACATTTCAAAATGCATTCAAAATTTAAATATGGGGGCGAAAATGACATTTCTTTAGTAGTATTATTTTGTTACTTTACTCTATTTGTAAACAAATTTAACCAACAAAATAGAAAAAAAAATATCAAATATAAAAAAAGCCATCAATAGTCTTTCCTCTTTGAGGTTATGACCATAAATGATGGACATCATTCAAGTACAATTTTTCTCTTAAATATTCATACTTGAAAGTTGAAATTTAGTATGTGCATGACACTAATAACAATTACCATAAATATTTCAAGATTTTTATCTTTATACGTAATATATCTTTTACAAAATATTATTACTCAATTAATATTTGAATAAGGCTATATAGAGATATGATTCTACAAAAAAAATATATACTTCTATCGTGAATGTCAACACGGTTATAAGTAGAATGTTATAGAGACGAAAAATATAACATAAAAAATTAGTTCTAAAGAAAATTAGGTCGTTACAATGAAATGTATTATAACGAATGATGGTTAAATAGAGGTTTGAGTGTATGTCAAATATTTAGCTTGACCAATTCTTTGTTTTATATATATATATATTTCAGTAGCATAATTTAATGTTAATATATGAAAGACATCACCTATGGTGAACAATATTTCATTTCATTAAGTTTCTTCCTTATCTTTGCGGAATTGTAGTTTTTTTTTTCTTCTGCCGCATACATATCATATAGTTGTTGTCTAATAAAAGTATCTAGTATCATATAGAAGTTATATCGTGATATAAAATAATAAACTTTTTCAAAAATAAAATATAATAGATGAACAAAATTTAAAGTATTATTTATAAAATCTTTAATTTGATTCATTTTATAATCAATAACTATTTTCTTATCTATTTTTATATAGCTAGAAATGAGTGTATCTTGTGACATAACATTTTTTTAGATTAAAATGAACACAAAATAACAGGAAATTCATACTTAAAAAATTTCATACTCAATATAAATATATAAAAAAACATATGAAACAATTCATTGCCAATGAAAAAGGAAGACGAAAATATATGTGTGTGCTTTATTCACTCCAGCGTTCCATTTGATTGAAAGCTCTTGCCACCGACACTTTACTTTCTCCGTTCATTTTTACTTACAAATCTATTAAAAAATTATTATCGTGGCAATATTATCATATTATAAGTAAAAGTGATTTTTTTTTTGAAATAGTAGACTTACTATCAAAACTAATAATTTAGTGGACTACGTTGATGCCCGTTGTTTTAGAAAAATTAGGAAGAAACTCCTTCGTTTGAGGGTAAAAGAATAAAAAATGGAAAAACAAAGAAGAAATACCATACCCCAATCATGTGCCTTTTTCGTATTTGCTTTTTAATTGATTTCCATGTACTCATACATTGATCATGATTTTGACTACATTACTACAAAATAGATTTTTGGCGACAATTATTTAGTGTCAATTAATCAATTACCGCTAATTAATTCTTTCAGCTAATTTTTAGCGGTATATAAACAATAACCACTAAAAGGTATATTTTAGTGGCAATAAAAATTCCTCTAATTTTTTTTACTACAATTAACCCTCCTATTATATCACTAAGAAAATTAAATTTTTAGCGAAAATCCTATTTCCATTTAACCTAGAGATCCTTCTGCTCAGCTCTCTCCCTTCGACTCATAGCTATGACCCCTAAAAGACATAAATTTATGAAGAAACTATGAATCTAAGAATGATGTTTTCATCAAGTATGCATGATTTATGAAAAATGAATGATTTATGATTTGGGTTGTTTTAAGATAAGCATCAATGAAATTGTGAAAGGTATTCTCACATATGTATAAATTGTGAAAGGTTTTCTCACATTAAGAAATCATGGATGGTAAAAAGTTTTCTCACACATGGTTTAAGGAGCTACTCTATGATGTTTTAGCTTGGATTAGTAACTTAATTATACTTTTTCATGGATGATGATAAGTTTATGTTTATGACTATTCCATTGAGATTTTTACTTAGCATGCACGAAGAGGATATTGAGATGGAGGCTCTCCCGTTAGTAGAGGTCAGTTCTATAGTAGCAATCTCCTTGTCCCTAACTACATGCACCCTGTAGGTTTGTCTTAGAAAGACATCACTAGTGGATCTAACTAAGCTAGAAGTTTAAGGGCAAGCAAGAACATCTTTTTTCGATATTGGAGCAATACACCAGATTTTAGTGGTCAATATCGGTTAATAGTAAATATCCCACAAAACAAACTAAGTTATTCTTAAAGTTTTTATGAAGCTTTTATTAAGATTTCAAAATGTATTTACCATGTCCATGATTTAAGATGTCTGTTTTACTATGTTTAACATGGTCATGTATTTCATGTTTTCGATTATGTCCCTTTATCATCACGTTTTCATGCATATTCCTCATACTTAGTACATTCCATATACTAATGCATACTTGTGCCTACATTGTTTAACTAATGTAGGACGTGACGCTTCCTCTCCCTTCGATCGTGGCTAGTTGGTGATAATTGGAGTTCATAGATTTGGTGAGTCCCCATGTTTCGAGGACAAAGACATTTTTACTTGATTTCCTTATGTTTTAGTTTTCAGACGTTGTACGTGGTACATGAATTACGTTTCGACCATTTCATTTGATGTACTAGATGACTTGTCAATACTATATATGACGACAACGGCTCGAACGGGGTCCCTCTTTCCAATCCTTTTAACAACTAGTAGAAGTGTTTCTCTATTTAAACACTTTAACTTTTCTTTCCACCACCAATGAGGGAGAAATGCTTTTTTCTTAAAGCATAAGAGAACCTTTCAAATTCTTATTTTGTTCTTCCCTTCATTTCCCATTAATTCTTACTATATACCCAACATTAGACTTTTGCTTTAATGTCATACTTTCCCATTTAGATGAGATTCTTTTCTTCTATTATATTGTGTATATGTATGTCAAGTGACTTATGTAGGGCCTCTCGGGGTCTTATACGCCATATCACGTCTAGGGTGTACTTTCGATTGTAACAAATACTTAATCATAAGTTTGGTTTCAGTTTCAAAATATTGAGAAAATTTGTAATAATATGTTTCTTTTCTAATTTTTGTAGTAAAATTATAAGTTAACAACATTTTATTCTGGTGTTATTATTATTATTATTATTATTTTAATTTTCTAGTTCTTTTAATCTTGAAAACCATCACCAAGGTTCAGGGCCCATGATGTAGAGGGTTAGGCTTAACCCCTACCATGTCTATTCATCCCAAAAAAGGTATAAAAGTTAGAGGAAGATATATTCCAAACTTCTAACAAGAAATTGAATGCACAAAAACTTTACTAAGTAAGAGAGAAAATATTAACATATATAATTTCCTTTCCTATCAGTAGGGGTGTTCATGGTTTGGATAAAAATCGATCCAAACCGAAAAACCAAATCAAACCGATAAAATAAAATCGATTTTATTTGGGTTTGGTTTGGTTTGGTTTTAGATTTTTGAAAACCGATAGTATTTGATTTGTTTATGATTTTATTCGAAAAAACCCGAAGAAATAACCGAACCGAACCGATGAATTATATACATATATTTTATTAGTATACATACTTAATATATTGTTTTTATAAGCAATTTTAAAGATCTTATACATATTTTCATTAAAATTTGTTTATAATTTACTTATTGAAAGCAAAAATGCCCAAGATGAAACATTTATCTTATTGATTTCATGTATATGAGTGTCTATGACAATTCTTTGTGGGACTGAAAATGTTATTGTCTCTTCCTTCTAGGCCAATATAGTGAATTTTAAAGCTTTATTGATAG